TGCTCAGGATACATCTTTATTCCATTCCAACCAATAACTTTGATCCGACTTCACTCTGGAAAAAAACATCTGGAAAGCTACAAATTCCACTGGATTTACAAACCCATTAGACCTACAGTGCTTTTTGTAAATGTAGCGCTTGAAAAAGTGTCTATCTTACCAAAACATTATGGATGAACCTCTTAGATAATTCCAAATGCCACAGTGGTTTTAAAAATATATCCTCCTGTGGAGAGCAGCTCAGCTGGCTGTGTGGGGTCTCGACAGATGTGACGGGCAGAGCCTGCTGTATTTCTGTGAAGAGGTTTTAGCTACAGTAGTGTGCGTCCCCCCGTCATCCATCTCTCATCCACTTTCTTCCTTTTAGCACTCTCCCCCTCTCTCTCTCTTTCCATCGCTTCCCTCTTTGAGTGGATTCAGAGCCCCACACACAACACTCACGCCCTCTCTACCACCCACACTCTTGAGTAACAAATCTCCTCCTGTGCATTCGGCCTGTAGCCCGGACACACACACACATGTACTCGTCTATCAGCTTTTACCTTTTAAAGGTAGGGTAGGCAATTTTCGTAGAGGCTAGAAATTGCAAGTTTGCTTTGAAAGCATGAGATCCCACCCTCCCTTCAGCGTGTCTCCAAAGCCACGCTTCCAAAACACATAAACGCGCACAGCAGAGTCTGCAAAGCGTCACGAAACTACCTCGTCTCAAAGCACATAACATTACAATAATAATGAACGTAAACAACTTAAAGAGCGCTGACTTTGCCACCTGACTGCTGCAGATTCATTTAGGCGTTGATGGTGTTGACAAAGAAAAGCATAAATTCGACACCGCTTTGAGCATAAATTCACGAACCACTCTGAGTATAACGTCACAGGTTTCCATCTCTTCCAAATTACGGTAGTTATGGTGTGAACGCAGCATAAGCTGGTTGTTTTGGTTCAGGAGGAACTATAAAAGGTGGTTGTGGCGCTCGGGGACTGACGTCTGTCTAACTCTGCATAGCATGAAACGCGCTGGTGACGTGTGATGTCTGCGCGAGCAGGGTGCGTGGAGGAATGAAAATAAGTTGACAGGCAGGAAGGACATCGTACATTCAGACCGAATGCAAAAATTGGACGAACATTTTATGATCCTACACCTTTCACAGGCGATACATATAAATACAGACCACTTAACTTAGTGAGTGCTATCAGGATGTGAAGACACTTTCAACCAGCATAACAAAAAAAGTTTCTGAAACAAATTGCCTACCCTTTAAATTATAGAGCCAAGCCAAAGAAAATCAAAGAGGCTCAGAAATAAAACATTTTCTTGTGTCTTACCCAATTTTGTATGTTATGTTCGCAAGCATCTCTTCCCTTTTACCTTCCTGTTTCCCAAGCATCTCTTCCTGTTTTACCTTCCTCTCTCTCTCATGCTGTGCAGTGAAAAGGTTTTTGTCATCTTAGCTTTTACTAGAATGTGTATTTTAGCACGTACTGATCAGTCAGCAGCCAGGACGGGTGCTATGCATTTATTATTATTTTTTTTTACATTTTATAGCCGCTATTCAGTCAGAACTTATGTTCTTGACTGTCAAAAGGTGCGCCTGACAGTTTGAGGTCAAGGATTAACGCTAAAATGGGTGGTTTAGACGCAACAAAGCTTCCAATCACTGGTTGTCTTTTTCCCCCATATCGTTTTTTGTTGTGTGGTGTGGTTTTCAGTCTCGCACTCAAGTTTCTTTCATGCACAGACCTCCTGCCTCCAGAGTGCAGCCAGAGAGCTGCATTTCACTGCATATGAAAGCAGATACGATCCAGAACATGTGGACCCGTCACCTAATACAATCAGAACAAAGGGGGGAAACTGGTGCAACACAAGCCTGAGTCCCATTTTGTTCAGAGAAAAGAAAAGAAATGCCAAAGAGAGAGAAAAATAGTCTAAGATAGTGAGTGTGTGTGTGTGTGTGTGTGTGTGTGTGTGTATGAGAGGATAGAGCCTCCAAACACTCCCTAACAAGACTGAGACATGCACAAATCAGCCAAGTCAGACAGTTTTCCTTAATTTTGCCTAAAATTTGGACCGTGTCTGTGGATTTTGCACCTATAAGGTTCATCTTTGCAAATTTGTTTCCATCTCTGCATGTGTGTGAAGGGTGGGGCGAGAGGGCGACAGATTGGGTCTCCTGGCTCTGGCCCCTCTGTACTCACACTTCCAGCAAGGTCACATGACACCAGTCAAACTCTGTCACAACCTCACTGGGGGAGAGCTGGCAACAACAAACCAGAGCAAGCCTAGTAGCTACACACACACACACACACACACAAGAATCGGCTTCACTCACAAACCTACCTTTTCATCTGGCTTCTTCAAAAAAAAGCTTTTGACATACAGTATGTGCAGTAAACCAGTTGTCTGCTTGTAAAAATACCATATGGCCATCATCCAGCCCGCAGTGTGAAAAGACCGCTGTGGATTAGTTTTAATGAGAGCTATGACTAAAACCTGACAGCCATGTGAGACAGTTAGCCATCATACGCACTTTCACCACAGAGTTAATTCCACTCTTTTTTAAACCCAAACCCGTGAGTCACAAACTTTTGCATCAGAATTCGCTAGCGGACTCGGCAGCCACAGAACAATCTGTTTAACCATCAACACGTGACACTACAGTTGTGCTTTATAAATCCTGTTTCAAAATTGTGAATTAAATTAGATTAAATTGAGCAATTTCAGTACAAATTAAGCTCAATCAATAGTATTTCTGGAATAATGTTGTCCTGCATCTTAAAAAAGCTGGAATCTGGTTTACATGGAAGAAAATGGGGTCAATACAATGTTAAAATACTGTTTCAATATCATAGCAAAAGACAAACAATATGGACTTAAACATGATTTTGTTGTGATGTTATATACAGTTTTATACCTTCATTGCCATTACAATGCAATGCCACAAACTATAAACCAGCTGTAAAATGTATTTAAACAGCTTTACAGCTCAAATGATACACAAAAGTTGGTCCCACTTTATATTAAGTGTATGTACAATGTACTAACATTGAAATTAATCATTTAATACAATGCACTTATTTAAAAAAATACCTGTTTGTAATTACAGCTGTAATTAATTTCTGTAATTACATCTATAATTACACTGTTGACCCTTCCCTTACCCCTTAACTCACCTTAAACCTGTCCCTAAACTTACCCGTATCCCTCCTCAATAGCAGAGAAAGTGTTTCGCAATACAATATGAACACAATAAGTACATTTGTATCTAACAATAATTTTTTTTGTAAAAACACAACAGCTAATATAAAGTGTGACCCAAATTTTAAATGTATAAACTATTATTTGAGCTAAACTTGTACTGAACCCAGAATGTTTCTTTTAAAGTAAGTAAAAATGTTTTCTGTTGCTTATATCATACATGGAGACAAAGTTCAATCTGAAGTATTTTATCCTGTACAGAATAAAGCAACAGATTGTTCTCTTCGCTCACATTTGTTCTTTGCATTTGGCCTTATCCAGTTGTTCTGAACGGATAAACAGCAATGCCACACACAGAGATGCAAAACTAAAGCACCTCTCGTGCAGTGCCATGTTTGCTATCCGGTGCCGGTCTCCTGAAGTCAGACAGGGTTCTTGCACCGCACACTTTTTTTTTTTACAGAGCAAAGTCAAACAGTGACTCACAAATTCCTGTCCATTTTTCCAGCGATGTGGCACAGCTTTCAACCACCTTTCCTCTAACACTGACTGCAACCAAATCAGATTTCCATTGTGATTTTGAAATGAAACAATAAGTGACTTTTCATTTTTTTTGATCTGTGCTTGATTTAGGCTGTCTGAGCATATCACATGGGCCTTCTAAAATGCCTGGAGCTTTAGACAAGAGCAAAATACCCTTCAACCCCTCCACCCCCACCTTTCTGGAATCTTCCGAAGCTTCAAAGCGTCTCCCTGTAACCCAGAAACACCTTCAACCAGAGGCGCTGGGAGAGCTATACAGGTTGCTGCTAATGTTCCAAGTGCTTTGTTAAAATTCCCAGCAGTAAAAACGGGCTGTGTTTTTTATTTTTATATTCACATGTGTAGCAATGTCTGCTTTTCTGCTATGCTGGCTCGGTTCAGCAAAATCATACAATAGTGTAGTTTTTATAACTTGGAGATCTATGTGAGCAAGACATCAGAATGTCTGACAAACATTTCCAGTTGTAAAAAAAATGCACGAAAAAAATGTAGCTCCAGGGAAAGAAAAAAAATCTATGAACTCAGCAAAGTTAGTAAAAGAGATGGCGGTAACCTTCAGAAGGGCTTAAATTCTCTCGCTCTCTCATCAAGCGCCCCCGTTTAAATCCTCCACCCCTCCGGACGGTGGAGGGGAGCAAAGACTAAAGCTTAAATGCTTTGAATGATGGTGAGGAATGTTTAAAAGTGTCTGTTTGAGGAAAGGGGGTGGGCTGAGTTTTTCTTAGGGGGGAGGAAGACTCCCGTGGGACAAACCCCGTCTCTCAGATCTGGTATGCGTGACTGAGCAAGGAGAAGAAAAAAATCCTCGACCTGGCTTCTTAACTTAGGGAAACAATGGCAACTGTTGAGAACAGGATTTATAATATTTTGGTGGGTGAAAAATATCCAATGTTATAGTCACTAAATTAACATCAGATGCGTTTACAATATGTATATTATTGGACTGGATGTCCTCAGTTGTAATAAAGGCAGCATTGCAGTTTTAGCACCCTCACTAGCACAATTAAGGGAAGCATCCATTTTGTTGCGCTTCATAAATAATGTAACAAACATGCATGCCCTTAACACACAAATCTCACTTCCATTCCATCGCCCTCTAAAGCGCTCATTTCTCAAATCCACTACATTGGCAATTAATCAAATACACCCCTAACCCTATTATAGCAAAATTATCCGTGATACTGCCTAAACATTATGACATCTATAGCATCAAAAGGGCACAAAACCACACTGAATGCATGAATTATACCAAACTCATAACGAAATTCCAAGTGGCTCTTTTATTTATATAAATATCAACTTTAATGTTTTTACTGTAAGAATATAAAACATTTTAATTTGGGATTCTTTTTACAAATACATTTACAGTACATTAGAACACAGTAGCTTCTCAGCAGGACTCAATACATGTTGCAGGTCGATACATCATGGTACATATATAGGCCTGACATGCATTTTGCGTGTTACCCTCCTCGCGACCATGTCTTTTATTTGTAAAGTTGAATATTAATGTATTTAAAACAGACAGATTGTTTTATAACACGATGTTCCCTGTTTCAGCCCTGTGAAGAGGCAAACAAGGTGTCAGTGAATTGCAAACAGGGTTTTTTTCTTTTTCAGGGACAAAATTCACTTCAATTTGAAGTACAACGCTCTGAAACACTGCCATTAATTAATATCTGCTTACATAAGCATAAATACATCAGCAGAGGCAACCTCTTATTCAAAGCAGGAATTAAAGGCTTTCAGGCCTGTAAAATTGAGCAAAAACTAAAAGCATTTGGAAATATAAAAGCTGCTTTAGTGTACAAACCCAGTATTTTTGTCTGTCTTTGCATAAGGGCAGTTGACATAATATGTCCATGAACTTTTTTCTTTATTAATCATCGAGATTTGAGTATATCATTTGTGTCAATAATGGAAAATGCGTATTTTGGGTCCTGGGACTGGTAACTATTTGTTTCTCATTTTTAATCCAATTAATTTTAAATGATCCTGTGGTGTGATAAATACATTTTAAAAAGAAGTACAAAGACAGCTGTAGTCTCTCACAAAAAGTTACGAATTCAAATATTTTAATGTGAACTGTCTAATCACAGGACAGTTGAAAAATGCTTGAAATTTGATATCAACTACCTACTCATAGACTTGTTTTGAAACCCTTTGCTTTTTTGTTGGCTAGCTGAAGGAAGGGAAATAAAAAAAGGTAGTCTCAATCCATCCTGTCTTTCATTCTTTCTTCTTCTTTTTTTGCTTTCCTTAAGCCAAAGACGAGATACAGGGGGAGGGAATTGTTTTTCTAGGCACAAATTTTCATTCTTGTTAAGAGTAATAATATAATGTAACATCTAACGAGGTAGCCAAAATATCGCGATACTTGGAGAGGAGGTTTAATATTGCGATTTGTTATGGAAAAAACAACTTTTGTGTGTGTTAATAGCAATAACTGACACATGTATCACATTCAGCATTTTAAGCCTCTTTTATGTACTTTGCTCTATTGAAATCCACCCATCCCCCTCCCGCCCAACTTCCCTCTCCCTCTCTCTCTCCCTCTTCAGAAACCCCCCAAGTTTCACCTCACTTTCTCACTTTCAGTCATCTGCCAAAGGCCCAGGTTCAAAACTTTAAGGCAGGGGAGCTGCGTGATCCTCTCCAGTCCCCTCTTAGTGATTTTCGTACATCCATACAGATCGATGCCGGTCAGTTGCGTCAAGTGGTCTGCGATCAGCTCCAGTCCTTTGTCTGTAATCCGCACGCACTGACCGATGTTCAGCGTCCTCAGCTCGTGCATTTGGCGCACCATCCTGTTGATGCCATCGTCACTGATGTGGCACGAGCACAGCGACAGAGACTTGAGCTGGTACAGGCCCTGCGCGATATAAGCCAGACTCTGGTCGCCTATCTTGTCGCAAAATGACACGTCGAGTCCGGAGAGTCTCAACGTGCCCATGGCGAGGTGCATGATGCCCGTGTCGCTGATGTTGTCGCACGAACGCAGATTAAGGCTCCACAGGCTCGTCATGTGAGAGAGGTGGATCATGCCAGCGTCCGAGATGCCCCCGCAGAAACTCAGGTTGAGCACTTTGAGCTTAGTCAGACCTTTTGATATATGCTTGAGGGACAAGTCCGTCAACTTTTGGCAGTCCTGCAAGGTCAGATATTCCAGGCTGAGGCAGCCCTCCGCCGCGCTCCGGGTCATGCCGGCCAAGTGCCCGATGCCCACGTCCGACACATGCCGGCAGCTCCTCAGATTAAGACTTTTGAGTCTGTGCAAACCCCACGCAATGAGCAACAAGCCCGTGTTCGTGATATTACTGCAGCCGCCCAGTTCCAACACCTCCAAGTTTTTCAGATACTGCGCTATTCTGCCCAAACTGGAATCCGTGATCTGCTTGCAAAGGCTCAGGTTGAGCACCCTCAGGGATGGGATCTCCTGCACGAACGCGTGCCCCAGGCCGTTATCCGTTAAGTTATAGCAGCCGCTCAGATTCAAGCTCTCGATGTTGGGCATCCCCTGGATCACGTAGCTGAGGCTGCGCCGCAGGCTGAGGATCTGCACCCGCCTGATGCCTCGCGCCTGGAGGCTGGGGAACAGGGACGGGTTCGCCCGCCTCAGATGCAGCTTGGCTTCCACCCCCCTCCACACGGACTTGTGGTAGGACGCGTCCCTCCACGCCGTACACACTTGAGCCACCCTGCCTTTGTCCCTCACGTCCAAGTAGCTGAAAATCATGGCTAAAATCTCCGGGAAGAGACACGAGATGTGCGTCTCCATCTTCCACGCGCGCTCAAGAAAACAAACGGCGGCAAACCCCCACCAACGGTCACCGTCGCGTCTCGCTGTCCCCTTAGGAGGGGAAAAAAGGCTTTTAGAAAGCTCCTCAAGCTTTTCTTTTCACATTTAACTGGGTAAATCGACAACTCTCCGTCCCGAGCGATCCTTTCAGTGGCGTAGGAAGGATTCAAATGCAAAAATGCCTCCCAAAAGACGCTTGATCCGATTCAGACCGACAGCGAACGGGCGGTCAGACAGCGCTGCTGCCCGTTTGGCGCTTTGATAATAGTCTTCGCTCGACCCGGGGATCCAGACGGTCGTACATTTTCAAAAGATGTCTAAAACTGCCACAAACCTCGGGAGAAAATAAATTCAGTCCGCTATCAGATAAAAGAGTGAGGTTTCGTTTCGCGTTTCTGCTCCGCTCGCACTCATTGCCAAGCCGAGGGGCTTCCTGCTGCCTTTGTCTGATCTTTTCAAACTGACTTGGCAGGGCCGCCAGCACAGAGCTGCTGCGGGGGAGTCGCACATGTTTAAACCTGCTAAACACGGAGGAAATTGTTTAAAAAGAGTCTAAAACTTATAAAGCGAGCCCGTATATATGTATAGTTATTGTCCTACCCCGTGTTCTGTTTTTCTCTAAACTGTTATGAAATAAATGCGTGTTGTGTGTGTTAAACGCACCCCTTTCTGAAAGCAAAGTGGTTTAGCCCAACTCAGCTGGAACAGTAAGAATAGTTCCCCTGGAAACCAACTTCTTACAATTCAGTTCACTTTACTCTTAACCCTTCAGCTTCCGTGTCAGATGGTGGTATTTTTGAAGTTGTTATTTCAATTTGATTAATTATTAGAGTAAAGTGAAGCTTTTTTAAAGTGACATTTTACAAATAACACAGTTTTGTGTGTGTGTGTGCGTATAACAAAAACAATAGGAAGGGCTGATTGTGAAATGTTGAAAAATTATACTAGGGCTACATTTAATATACTTTAGTTAAATGTATATAAAAAATCTATTTTTTTCCTTTTTTTTCTTTTCTTTTTTTTTTCTTTTTTTTGCATTGGTGGCATTTCTTAATTTGTAGATAAAATGTTATTCAAGTACATACTTTGAAAAGTTATTTAGTCCAGATTAATATCATGGTTTTTAAGCTTTTATAATATAATAGATCATTTAGTCATACTGCCGTTCTCTTCTTGTAAAAGAAACATTTCGCATCATAACCCTAACAAAGGGGCACATAATGTTATGCTCTATGAATCTGCGGTAACAGCCTGTTTGCCCCGTCAGTCTTACATAAGGTAGTTTTTATTCCACCTTTTGCATATTTCCCCGTCTTTGGGCCTCAGGCCCCCCTCTGTGGGCTCTTTGGCATTGTTAGCCGATATGACGGGAGCATTTGCAGAAGGTACTGGAGTGTAGCAGAAAGAAGGAAGAAAAGCAGCACACACACGTTTGTGTTTACAAAAGAAAATGCAGCACAGCACAACTGACAGCAGAAGTCCAACCCTCCCCTCTCCGACTCTCTGTCTGTCTCGAACCTTCTCTCTAGCTCACCACGTCTCTCTCTCTCTCTCTCTCTCTCTCTCTCTCTCTCTCTCTCTCTCTCTCTCTCTCTCTCTCTCTCTCTCTCTCTCTCTCTCTCTCTCTCTCTCTCTCTCTCTCTCTCTCTCTCTCTTCAATAAATGTCACTTTTTTTCTTCCCTCTCCTTCCACTCTCACTGGTTCAGGTTATAATTGTGTAAAGCACAAAACTCTATCCAACATTATTTATGAAGCAGCTCAGTCCTGCAAGTTCACATGAAATCAAAATGGAACCTGTTTGCTTTCTTAATACACATTCCTGGCCTTACTATATTTGTAGGGTATGGAAACTTGTTTCTGCCACTGAATAAAAAATAAAAATGGTAATTGGGACTTTTTATCCCCAAAATTGCATGATATAAACTCGCAATTGCTAGTTATAAAGTCAGAATTGTAAGATATAATGTTGAAATTTTGAGAAATAAAGCCATTGTAAAGTTTATATCCCACAATTCTGAATATAACACGCAATGGCGAGAAAAAAGTCATAATTGTGAGATATAAACTTGCAATTGTGAGAAAAATCTAAATTGCGAAAAAAATCATAATTGCAAAAAAATATGGGAGCTTGCGAGAAAAGTCATAATTGTGATAAAAAAACACGCATAATTGAGAGAAAAATGGCAGAATTGCGATAAAAAGTCATAATTGTGAGATATAAACTCGCAATTGCGAGAAAAAAGCTAGAATTGCGAGAAAAAGTCATAATGGCGAGATATAAACTCGCAATTATGAGAAAAAAAGTCACAGTTGCGAGAAAAAAATTAGGATTGCGAGTTTATATTCCACTATTCGGACTTTATATCTCTCAATTGTGACATTTTTCTCATAATTGCGAGTTTATATCTCGCAATTATGACTTATAAAAAAAGTCTGAATTGTGAGATGAAAAAGTCCCAAATATCTTTAAAAATAGAGGGGGGGGGGCGGGCACGTTATTTTAAGAGTCTTGGGTATGTTTAATAAAAACTCGCTTCGTCTCTGAAACAACTTTCGACTCACGAAATCCCTCTTATTTTTTATCGTCCACTTAACCAGTAAGTTTTTAGTCTAATAGAATATTCTCTTCAACTCTGATTACTGGAAGAAAAACACGCTGCGGACGCCATTTCATGCTGACGTCAAGCTGAATTCATGCGCTCTCTCTGACGGACAGGTCCTGGGCTTGTATGGTGGACAGATGAAGGGCTCTAAATGTGCGCTGCGCCCCGATGCCCAGCATGTAAGGGGGCGAGAGGTCTGTGACAGCGGCCCCTGTCCCTGGCTCCTCCAGCCGGCCTCACCGCCAGAGAGGAGGGCCGCTCCAGAACTGCACTGCTGTGAGTCAGAGACTCTCAAAGCAGGCCTGCGGAGCCAAAAGCAGGACTCAAGCTGCTCCTGGAAATAAGCAGAGAGAGAGAGCGGGAGGAGGGGACGAGTGAGAAAGGAAAGGGAGGGGATTGAGTTAGAAAGCAAGCGAAAGCTAACAATTAAAAAACATGCTCTTGCAACAGAGCGACGACGCTATTAATTTAACAGTTTATGATCATTCAGGCTAAATTGAACCAAGCGAAAGCAAAATAGTCATAGTAAACAGGAAGCATATAAGGATGTTGAGATCATTTGGTGAAATAAAAAACAACAGATGCCGGTGAAGGAAAGTGAAAATGAAGCTGCTGAGAGACAGTGAGAACTGGAAGGACAAGTGCTACATGCGAAGGTGTTGTAGGACCTTGCAAAAAAAGAAAAGAAAAAAAAGATCTGTCATGTGATTTGATGTGCTGATTCAGGGGAGGGAGATAATTGGATAATTGCATGCCACAGAACTGTGCTGATAACTGCGCTTGGGGCAACCGTTTCCTAGGAGACGTAGGCATGTGTCAACATGCTGTTGAAAGCTGACACCTCATGAATAGATTTTAGGCTACTTTGTAGTTTCTCTCTCTTTCTCGGCATCCTGTATGACTCCAATCTGCTTTTTTGTTTTGCAAGCGGTGGCAGTTTGAGGAGAGATTTTGGCGGCTGTAACTTGCACAAACGTTCACATACATCCAACTAGCTGAATGGGCTTTTCATGAAATCAGACAACAGTTTCTTCTACGGCAGGGGAAGCCACGTTACTCTATTCAAATCAGGTCGAATCTCCCTAGGAGCTGCACCCCTGGGGTTCTACAGGGGAAACACCAGGAAGCCGATGCTCTCGGTGCCTGTGTAAAGAACAGGAGATGATGTAATACTCTCCCTGCCTAATGCATTGTAATGTTAATACCACTACTGATATAAAATGAACAAATCCCTTTATATTCCCATAACATTTCATTTCATTGCTCTGTATGTGTCATATCCATGCACTTTTCCTTTATAGACAGTCTGATGGACTGGGGTAGTGCTTTCTGCTGCACGGTTTGTCTTTTAGAGTATGAATCTTTGATGCTGGTGCTACAGAAATACAGTAATAAGTAGTGCGATGTAGAAGGCAAGTTGTTTGACTTTTTTTTGTGCATTTTTTTATAGATATAAAACTGTATTGGTTTTATATACACAAGTCAAAATGTCTGAGACTGCTTCCGCAATCTTTTCTAATTTTCTCATTAAAATTTTTAAAAGTTATAACAAATGAGTTTCAGTTACCTAGAAATAGTGCAATATATGAACTATTTAACGATAATCTAAAATAACATGAAATCTTAAAAGTAGTATATTGAATATAATAAAAATATATATATAAATATATAATCTATTATTATAATAAGTTGTATGTATATATGTACATTATATATGTGTGTGTGTATATATACACTCACCGGCCACTTTATTAGGTACACCTGTCCAACTGCTCGTTAACACTTAATTTCTAAGCAGCCAATCACATGGCGGCAACTCAGTGCATTTAGGCATGTAGACATGGTCAAGACAATCTCCTGCAGTTCAAACCGAGCATCAGTATGGGGAAGAAAGTTGATTTGAGTGACTTTGAACGTGGCATGATTGTTGGTGCCAGAAGGGCTGGTCTGAGTATTTCAGAAACTGCTAATCTACTGGGATTTTCACGCACAACCATCTCTAGGGTTTACAGAGAATGGTCCGAAAAAGAAAAAACATCCAGTGAGCGGCAGTTCTGTGGGCGGAAATGCCTTGTTGATGCCAGAGGTCAGAGGAGAATGGCCAGACTGGTTCGAGCTGATAGAAGGGCAACAGTGACTGAAATAACCACTCGTTACAACCGAGGTATGCAGCAAAGCATTTGTGAAGCCACAACACGCACAACCTTGAGGCGGATGGGCTACAACAGCAGAAGACTCCACCGGGTACCACTCATCTCCACTACAAATAGGAAAAAGAGGCTACAATTTGCAAGAGCTCACCAAAATTGAACAGTTGAAGACTGGAAAAATGTTGCCTGGTCTGATGAGTCTCGATTTCTGTTGAGACATTCAGATGTTAGAGTCAGAATTTGGCGTAAACAGAATGAGAACATGGAACCATCATCCCTTGTTACCACTGTGCAGGCTGGTGGTGGTGGTGTAATGGTGTGGGGGATGTTTTCCTGGCACACTTTAGGCCCCTTAGTGCCAATTGGGCATCGTTTAAATGCCACGGCCTACCTGAGCATTGTTTCTGACCATGTCCATCCCTTTTATGGCCACCATGTACCCATCCTCTGATGGCTACTTCCACCATGTCACAAAGCTCTAATCATTTCAAATTGGTTTCTTGAACATGACAATGAGTTCACTGTACTAAAATGGCCTCCACAGTCACCAGATCTCAACCCAATAGAGCATCTTTGGGATGTGGTGGAACGGGAGATTCGCATCATGGATGTGCAGCCAACAAATCTGCGGCAACTGTGTGATGCCATCATGTCAATATGGACCAAAGTCCCTGAGGAATGCTTCCAGCACCTTGTTGAATCTA